GAGCGGCCACTGCACTCCAGTCTGGGCGACGAAGTGAGACTCCAACTCAAAAAAAAAAAATTAGCAAGTAGCATTAGTTCCAGCTACTTGGAAAGTTGAAATGGAAGAATCGCTGGAGCCCAGCAGGTCGATGCTGTGGTGGTCGAGTGTGCCACCGCACTCCAGCCTAGGCAACGGAGTGAGACTCCAACTCAAAACAAAAAAAAAGTAAATGCCGCTCCATTGCCCTGTGGTTTTCTTAGGAACGTTCGTTCTCCTTTCTCTGGAGAACTTCATGGTAGGAACACAACACATGACACTAGCATACAAAACACATGCTAACTGGCTGCACCTGTCGTAACTTACTGTCCACAGCAGGCTGGCATGTCGTGGGGAGTTTAAAGTTATACTCGGATTCTCAACTGTATAATGGATCAATGCCCCCAACCCCTATACTGTTCAGGGGTCAACTGTATGTGGATGTGCATGTGTGTATGTGGATGCAGGCGCCCATACATGCATGCACACGTGTACATGGAAGCACACGCATGTGGGAGCACATGTGTGAACGAGTAAGGCATGCATGTGCTTGTATATGTAGATGTACATGCTCACACATACGCGTGAACATGTGTGTAAGCAACCATGCATATGTGCACGTATGTGTATATGTGTGCTTGTGTATGAGTATCCATGAGTGCATGAATGGCTGTGTGTGCATGAGTTCACACATACATGTGTACATGTGTGCTATTTGTATGTGTGTGTTTGTGTGCGTGCGCAGGCAGAAATGCACTCACAGTGCAGCCTTAGATGCCACCTCAGAACAGCCTGGGTGCAAAGCTGGTCCTCAGCTGGCCTCTGAGAACCTGGCTGTTGGGTGGTTCCACAGCACCAGTGATTGGCAGGGCTCTTGGTGTCCAGGCCACATGTGCACCACGGGGGGTGCTGCGTGCTCCCGGGGTCTGGAATGTGAGCGCGGGCCAGGCAGAGGTGCCCACCTCACCAGCCCCCACGGACCCCGGGTGCCAAGCCTCCGTGCATCCTGGTAGGCCACACTCATGCATGTGGTCACATCTCACTGCTGGGGATTGCATGCCCATGTGACTCTGTGGGGCGGGACTTGGTCGCCGGCGCTCCCCCTCCGGCTTCGCCCAGGCCCATCACAGGAGCACCCTCTAGGGAAAGGCCATAGCTGGGTGCTGTGGGGCCAGAGTGTGCATGGTGGGGCAGGCTGGGCGGGAGGGCTGAGGGAGGGGACTCAGGAGCAGGCCGCTGTAGCTCAGCGAAAGGCTAAGTCCCTTCCTGCGAAAGCTGAGCTGGAAGGGGGACGGACTCCGCCTGCCTTCGTCTCTGGGGGAGACAGCACAACAGTCCCGGACGGGCGCCCTAGCATCCCCCACCGCGGTTGGGCTGGGTCCGAGGATGAGCACCAGGCCTGGAACACGTGGGGCTTAGACACTCTGTACCACCAAGGCAGGGACGCCCCTGCCCCCGTGCCCCCTCACCTGTGCTGGAGAAGAGGGGCCGGGCCAGGTCCTGTGGGTAGTGGGGCCCTGTGAGCACACCAGGGGCAGAGGGCCTGCCCAGCAGGTCCAGCTTCGCACCCAGCTCCAGCTTGTGAGGCTCCAGCTGCACCTGCAGGGAAGATGGAGAGCATTGGGCTGTGGGGTGGCCACCAGGGTGGGGGCAGCAGGCGGACCTGTGTGTGCGTCCCTGGGTGACCAGTGGAGAAGGCACTGGGCATGAACTTCCTACGTGATCTGCAGGCCTGGGGTGGCTCTGTGCCTGTGCACATCTGGATTTGGAGGCTGGGATTTCACTGAAGATATTTCACCTGTATTCCGACTTCTGACAGTTAAGTTGAAAAGTCATGCACATACCCAAGTTATTCCAGATAAGCTGAAGCCGATGACTAGAGTCAGTCCCGGTCTCACAAGGTAAGTGTGTCACAGCTACACGCCCTACACCATGGCTGCGTGGCAGCTCAGGGCTGCAGTGGGGCCTGGCAGGTGTGGATGGGCTGAGGGTGTGGCCTGCAGGACCCAGTGCCTCCTGGCTCTGGCCATGCGGCAGTCGAGTGTGTCCTGACGACCTCCCGCCACCCCTGTCAGGCCCGCCCAGGTGTTCTGGCACCAGATGTTTGCTGGCCATCATGCTGGATGCCCTGGCACTGGGGACCTGCGTGTGCTACTTGCCAGAACCTGTGGCTTTCACAGGAACCAAGGCCTCTCCACGTCTCGCCTGCCAGGGCCAAGCCAGGCTGGAGACCGGTGCTCACTGCATCCCTCAGCCTGGCTGAGGAGGAGCAAGGTTCAAGTCCTGAGGGTGACGTGAGGCTGCTGTGTGTCCCTGGCTCCCACCGGAGTCCCAACGCAGATGGCACCTCCTTGAGTACGTCTCGGATGCCTTCGCTGTGACTCGCAGGGGTCCCACCCAAGCGTTTACGTGGCAAAGCCCATGGGTTGTGTACAGACCCCTCTGGTGACGTCTCCCTCAAAGGACCCTTAGAATGTAGCAATTCCTAAGAAGGGAGCATGTGTCTCCTGCATCACTGCCAGGAGCACAGGTGTGGGGTACCCAGGCTGAGGCCACCCTGGCTGTGTTGGACCCTGGCAAGGACTGCTGGCCCTGTTCCCCCTTCTGTGTGGCCTGTGCTTGGATCTCTGCCTCCAGGGCTGCCACTCCGTCTCTCCCAGGTCATGCAGACCCAAGCACACAGCAGGCACTCAATAATCACGGAGGGGGGTGCAGGGCCCACTGTGGGCCTCGGTCATTGTGGTGCAGCCAGCACAGATGCCTGTGGCCTCACGCTCTGCTCCCCAACGTCCACAGCCAGCCCTACCCGAAAGCCCCAGCCCATCCCACAGCCCCAGGGACTCCCAGCCAAGGAGGCCCTGCTGCCTCCTGACCCTCAAACTACAGCCCAGTGCCCAGCATGGTGGCCAACCCCTGTGCACACACAGGCCCACGCCTGGCCTCTCCACGTCTCGCCTGCCAGGGCCAAGCCAGGCGGGGGGCCGGTGCTCACGTGCAGCCCCAGCCAGGCCTGGGGCCTCCCCAGCCCGCACTGAGGATGCCACCCTCGCCCGTGTGGCCTCACCTTTATCTTCTGCTGATGGTGATAAATCTGCCACGCGATCTGCACGTGTACCGCGCACCACTTCCCTGGTTTCTGCACAGGACGGGACATACTCAGCGGGGCCGGCACCACCTCCCTCCCCACTTGGTCTCCCACTGTCCACCCTTCTTCCCCAGGATGCCATGTGCACTCACCCTGACCACCGCCCGGAATGGGTCAGAAACCTGAGGTCGACAGAGGACAGGAGCGTTAGTGCCAGCCTGGGGGTGTGGGGTTCCAGCCCCTCTGCCACGTGGCCAGCCTACGAGGGGCAACACGTCCCTTGGGGGCCAGGGATGGGCTCCCGACACCTACCCCAGGGGCTTTCTGCAGGAGGGTGTGGACGGCGCTGGCCCGGCCGGGCACCTCCATTGGGCTTGAGGTCTGGGGGATAAAGGGGGAGAGCTCATGTGTGCGAGACCGCTCAGGCAGGATGCCTCTGGGTTCCTGGTCTGCAGGGGTGATAAATTTGGGCCTGCGCTCTGTCACCCAGGGGCAACCTGCCTCTCTCACAGGACCACACCCTCAGGCTGACAGTTTCTGCAAAGGCAGGAAGGAAGAAGAGGTTTGTGACACTGATGTGCTGGGGAGGGTGGGCGGCCCTCACTGGGAAGGCCACTTGCTGTGGGGCTATGGCAGTGGGACCCACACCAGTGGCCACACTCATGGGTATGTCCCCTGGGCCACTGCCCTCCCAGGAGCAGTCGTGTACGGGCTTGGCCAGGATAGATGCCCTCCAACTCCAGGCCTCAACATCCCAACTGCCAGGGCTCCGTGTAGCAGCCACAAGAGTCCTGACTTGGGACCCTCCTTGGCACCACATGTGCGTCCCTTCCTGAGACAGCCACTGGACTCACTGGACACCCAAAGCCTTCTGGTACCTAGGGGACTGGTCCCTAGAAGCCCTGTCTACCTGTCCATGACACAAGAGCTTCCCCCAGGGAGCCCATGTGTGCGTCCTGGGCCTCTCCAATGTCGGGGCGGCTGTGGGTGGCCTCTGAGGTCAAGGGTGCCCCTCAGTGGCCAGTAGAGTCACAACACAAGGCCGGTGACGGGGAGGGTTCAAAGAGTTCCCCTCCTCTAGCTAAGGTGGCATCCAACCTCCTGCTGCCCCAGGTCTCACGCAGTGTGGACAGCCCTGTATGACCTGGGTCTCCCACAGGTGTCTCCCGCAGCGTGAATGGTCTGTGCTGCCTGGGGTCTCCCGCAGTGTGGATGGCCCTGTGTTGGCTGCTGTCTGCACCAGGGGGACCTGCTAAGAATTGGGTGTTTTTCCAAAGCCGTCACGGGTGTGGCACCCCTGTGTGCTCTTCTCTGCTTGCTCTCACCCCTCCTTGGGGACTCTGCCATGCCCACATCACAAGGACTGGCGATGGAGACAGAGCTGCTTCCGAGGTGGGGGCTGGGTAGGGTGCC